TTATATGATTAAGAAGGAAATTAGTAAAAGATTGGAAAGTGGGTAGAATTAGATGAAAATTTTAATTATCATAATTAAGTTACTTATAATGGCGAATATAATATAGATAATATAAAAATAGGTAGATGGGATATTTTGTATTGCAATGAATATGGAGATAAAGAATATAAATAAATGTAAAGATTATAAAATATAAGAAATATTTGTATATACATATAAATATGTATAGTGGTGGTGGATCATATGATAAACAAGGAAATTAGTAAAAGATTGGAAAGTGGGTAGAATTATATGAATAGTTTAATCATTATAATAAAATCACTTTTAGTGGTGAATATAATTTGAATAATAAGAAGGTAGGAAGATGGGATATTATGCTTTATGATTTAGGAAAATTTAAATACATGTAAATATTATAAAATATAAGCAATATTCAATCTACAATTAAAAATTTATAGTGGTGGTGGATCATATGATAAAGAAGGAAATTAGTAAAAGATTGGAAAGTGGGTAGAATTATATAAATAGTTTAATCATTTTCATTAAATCACTTATAATGGTGAATATAATATGAATCAGATGAAGGTAGGTAGATGGGATGTTTTAAATTTGGAATTTTAAAACTAAACTATGTAATAGAATCTTCATAAATATTGTAGTGGTTGTATGAATTTTGATGGAGATGGAAATGAGATTTATCGAACTTCAAAGAAAGATGCCATTATTTATGTTGGATCTTTTAAAAAATTGATGAAGGTAGGTAGATGGGATATTATGTATCGTAAATATAGAGAAGCTAAAAGAATGTATATATTATAGAATTTATGAGAAAATTTAAATCTACAAATATATATGTAGTGGTGGTGGATTATATGATGAAGAAGGAAATTAGTATAAGATTGGAAAGTGGGTAGAATTAGATGAAAATTTTAATCATAAAAATTAAGTCACTTATAATGGTGAATATAATATGAATAATTAAAAGGTAGGTAGATGGGATGTTTTAAATTTGAAATTTTAAAACGAAATTATGTAATTCAATTTTATAAATATTTTAGTGGTTGTATGAATTTTGATCAAGATGGAAATGAGATTTATCAAACGTATAAGTAACAATCTTTATCAAATAATTAGTGAA